CATACGTATATATATGTATGTGTATATATATAGATCTATATCTATTATATCTATGTATTTTCTGTCCAATTTTGGTGTGATATTTTAAATAAAAGTTTGGTTATTTTATTATATTAGCTTGGAGTATTAAAAAATACAGTTTACTTTAAATCCATGAAACTAGTATATTAGACTAAAATGTCTAATATAATACATACAATTATTTTTAAAAAATATGAAAAAAAAGGTGGGAAAAGTCAGTTTTTGTTTCGGCTTGACTAAATCTGCTGTGGGATGTGCGTTGTGATGCCATTCATTTCAATGCCACCCCAAACGTACCTCCAGCCTGCAGTATGATCGCCAGCACTGGCACGTTCGGTACTGCAGTGCAGTGTGTTCCAGTGCGGAACGATTGCAAAAAATGTGCATGCAGTTTTATTCTGAAGTAAACTTTATGTTTGTAGCAGCACTCCATTTGTGTATTTTATTTTAAATAAAAGATGGCATTTAATTTTTTTTTTCCGATTAATCGAAAAAAATATCAACCAACTATAATGAAAATAATCGTTAGTTACAGAACTAGTATATAGACTCTGCCAATATCCTCCCTTCAGCCCAGGGGCTGGCCTACAGCGTGACAGTAAGCAGTGTCTTCAGGAAAGTGCGTAAGAATATCATATATGAACATCTGGCCTGTACTCCAATGTAAATTTGTAGTCTTGTAAGGCTAACGACCATCTGGTGAGCCTTCTGTTTTGTTTTCTTTGTTCTCATCTAATTTAGAGAACAGAATAATGTGCCATACTAGAACGTAATATTGGAGAACCTCCAGTGCCCATTCAATGGCCAGACATACTTTCTCAACAACTGTTTATTTTCTTTCGTGACTGTTTCTCTTCTCCATCTCAAACTGGTGAAAGCCTATAGTGGATGCATCTGTCTGGACAATGAACTCCTTTTTGAAATCTAGAGCAGTCTGAACATACAAGGCTTCTTTTAGAACCTGATGTGCTTTTTTTAACTTCTGGTGACCACTTAATCATAGCTGAGACTTTTCCTTTGCTTATGTCACTTAGTCGAGCAGCAAGGGTGGCAAGATTTGGTATAAATCTCCTGATGTAACCTGTAATTCCAAGAAAGCACACTTTTTTTGCATAAAAATAAATAAATAAAAATGTGTGTGTGGCAAGTATAAATGTAAAAACTGAGAGATGCCATTGCTGATGACTTCCTGAAAATAAACGTAGCCTTGCTATTATGCTGACCCTCTGTCTGCAGTACTTCCTGAGACACTGACCTGCAATAGAATGTAGATTAGCAAAGTCAATGAAAAGTCGTAAGTCCTTATATGTATACTTGTTCTAGGTTAGTGAATCAAGGTATTAAAGCCAGAGGACTAGTGTGATGGCCAGGCAACTATCATTTTCAGAATGAGAAGTCTTCAATGCCAACCTCTAACCTGTCTCCCAGAAAAGGTTTCAGAATAACCAATGCGCATAACTTGCATTGCAATGGGGGTGCGCAAAAGGGCACTGGAGCATGCATTGTAATGTAACACAACTATGTAAATCCGGATGAAGGATTTTCCATTATCGTTGTGACTCTCTGATATATATATATATATATACACATACACACCCACACAGCGTACCTGTGTAGCGCAATCACCATTTCCATAAGTATGGGGGAACCCGACTTGTGTTTCCATTAGCATGAGCATGTTCGTGGGGTCGGGGGACTTTAAACATTTTTGGGGGTATTTTTCATTTCATTTTATTTTACTTTATTATTTTTTCTAACTTTGTTGCCATTTTATGTGGGCTCACAAGCCCCCTATGTCACAGAACTTTTGTGGTGGCAGGTTCTCTTCAAGGTGACATTAGGGGTCTATTAGACCCTTAGTGTCACCATTTCTCCTTCAGGTCTTCCTCTGCTGTCAGCAGGCGGGTGTAATAGCCAGTCTGCTGTTGGCACGGAGGAAGCAGAGGAGGATCGCGGGCAGCAGAAGAGGATCGGGGGCAGCAGAGGAGGATCAGGCCGGCTGCAGCAATCTGTGTCCGCTATGATTGAAGGGGACACAGATCGTAGCATGCAGCAGCTCCCAGCACGGGGGAGAACGGAGGAGCAGAGCGGCGGCAGCGGGGGAATCCAACTAATTGAAATCAACTATTCGATGAGAATTGTTGGCAATGGTTCTCATTAACGATAAATATCAATTACATAGCTGTCGCAGCCCTAAAGGTGGCTATTTATTTAAAAAAATATACTTGTAGCGAGGGTTAAAATGGGAAAAAGGTGGGTTGTTCCCTGGGAAAAAGAAACAAGGATGGCATGTGTCACCATGGACAATACTTTTCTCCATATAGAAATGATTTATTTTTTTAAACATCATTTTTCTTTTCTTTCTTTTCCAATTATATGGCTGTTTTATGCTATGTTGTATGCTATGACTGTTTGTATCCAAGTAATAACCACTAGTAAATACAATTATTATTGAAATGCAATCAACACTGGGAATATGAGGAGAACATTTAACATTTTGGCTGCATTTTTCTTTGCTTAAAAATTCTGTTTATATTTTAAAACACGATTTTAGTGAAGACATGACTTGTTTACAAAAAGAAGTCAGCAACCTAGACAGAAACCATTCCTTGGATATCTGAAGACGCCTATAAAATGAAGCAGCTGTTTCAAAGGAAAACTCCACTTAACATTCAGTTCTTTTGAATATAGAAAAAAATAAGAGAGTATTTATCCTCAGATTTGGGGTAACTTTTATTCTTACACTTAAATTTTTTTATTGTAATAAGGAAAAAAGTGGCAGTTTTTTTTGTGTGTGCATTTAGCTTAGAAAAAAAGCATGACATAGATCTGCAGCACCCTCTAGTGTATTTACTTTGTGAAGCTTAACCCCTAAATACAATAAAGAAAATTACATCGATCCTATTCTAAAATATTGTAAAAAGTATGCAAGTCTTACATTGCAAATACATATTTACATTAAGCTTATAATACAGCAGTAAAAGTAAATCTGCATATCTAACCATCTGAGATAGTGTGCTTTCATAAGGTTGGCCATCCACAAAAAAATTGCTGACCAGTTTGTGAGATGATACACTTGAAATTATACTCTATAGCCCTGCCCTGTATTGCAATTTAACATCGAATTCATAAATGATTGTGATTTGGATAAACCTTCTACGGGATGTAGTAAACAGTTCTTTTTGTTATTGTTTAATGCTGTAAAGGTGCCCATGCACCTTACGATTATCGGACGAAACTTTTCGTCTGATGATTGAACCGTCCAATGATCGTACCCATCCTGCCCCGATTATCGCAAGGTTCAATCAGCGGTAGTTAAAAAAAAACACCTGGACGACTTGCGGTAATTGACCGCAATTATTTTCGTTTGCGAATGCGCAGTCTTAATTGTACGACTTTTGACGGACGGAAACGCCACCAACCATGCGAACATCGTACGATCGACCAAAGTTTTCAAACATGCTTGACCGTCAAAAGTTGTACGATTGTACAGTACTATCGGTCGGGCACTCTATTCAAACGTTACGATTGTCGTACAAAAAGTCGATCGCATAGGATTATCGTAAGGTGTATGGGCACCTTAAGACCTGGTTGTACTGCATACCATACTGCTGACCCTCCAATCAGTTGTACTGTGTGGAGGGTTCTAGCGCTGGTCTTCACTGGGGATATGTCTGATTGCAGCAGGGAGGGCAGCTGTTCATCCCTGCCGTTTGATGGCATAGGACAGACTTTAACTATGGCTGTGGGCTGCTTTACCACATAAGACTGGTATGAACATGCTCACTTAGTGTTCTAAATGTACAAGGAAGCAATTTTTATATGAGGGCTCAATAAGACTTTAAGAAAATACTTTTTTATAGATCATATAATAAACAGACATTTTTATTAAAACGCAAAACAAATGCTGCAACCCAGCAGCTCAAACTGTCAGTGACAGGAAAGGAAAGAGGAAAAAGTATAACTCCTATAGAGTGGAAAGCAACCCATAGGTGCAAGATAGATACTGTGTGTGTATATATACATATTTTTATGATTTTTTTATGCTGCTTATGTGCTATACAGATATCTTGTTGAAATAAATTGCACTTATGTCATGATAATAATTGAAAGGATCACATAGAAAAAAGGTGATTTGCAGATTTGCAAATGATCCTTATAATTGTACCCACCCACAGAGCATTTCATTTTTGTGGCTAGAATACATGGCACATAACTTTGCTAAGCTTTTACAAAAGATGCTGCACATTGTGTTATCTCCCATAGCAACAATCAAATTAATGTTTTAATGTGTATCTTCCAGCAAGAAGCGATACTGTTTTTAATAATCGGGGCTTACTATTTAACACTTTTTCCGTAACTCAGAACACAACTAATGTCCAACACTCATTCGTCTTACCTTCAGGGTTCAGCTCTAAGGTCACAGGCAGCAAATAAAGGGAAAATAAATCAAGAAAAAGTAAGAAATGTTTCATAAAAGTACAGCTGTGTAAACTTTTGGGCACTTTTGCTGGAAAATTGCATATACTGTTGGAAGATTGTTAATCCAATAAAGATCAGCAACTTAATGGAAATTTAATAAGCAACAGCACAATGAGGTAAATAGGTTATGAACAATTTTCGCCTTCCTCTTACAACATAATATGCAGCGTATTTCCAAGGTCTGGCCCTCTAGCCCCAGAGAACTGCACCAAATCATAATCCCATAGCGTATTTATTGACATGTGGACGTGAGCCTGTTAAATGCTTCCATAGCATTATTAGAAGCATACACTTCTGTTACGTACACATGTGATCATGTAACAGCACATTTCCATATTATTACAGTATTAAATTTTCAATAGTAACTTTGATATGTATCTCTGCTGTACAACCCTTTGGCTCTCATTTAAACTTTGACCTCACATCACATTTCAAATCCATCTTATACAGTCATAGCCAAAAATATTGGCACCCCTGCATTTCTGTCACATAATGTACCACTTCACGCAGAAAATTGTTGCAATTAAAAATGTTTAAGTATATGACACAAAAAATGGACTGGACAAAACTATTGGCACACTAAATTAATATTTGCTACAGGAATTTTGGACCACTCTTTATTTGCCAACCGCTCCAGGGAGCTCAGATTGGAAGGGTTCCTTTTCCCAACTGCTGTTTTGAGATCTCTCCACAGGTGCTCTATGGGATTTAGATTTGGACTCATTGCTGGCCAGTCCAGTACTCTCCAGCGCTTTGTCTGAAACCATTTCTGGGTGCTTTTTGATGTGTGCTTTGGGTCATTGTCCTGCTGTAAGACCCATGGCCTCTGACGGAGACCCAACTTTCTGACACTGGGCCCTACACATTGCACCACAGAATTATTTGGTAGTCTTCAAATTTCATAATGCCATGCACACAGTCAAGACATGCAGCGCCTAAAGCAGCAAAGCAACCCCAAAACACCATGTTTGACTGTAGGGACTGTATTTTTTTCTTTAAAGGCCTCATTTCTTTTTCTGAAAACAGTAGAATGATGGGCTTTACCAATAAGCTGCGATTTTGTTTTGTCTGTCCACAGCACATTCTCCCAAAAAGGATTTTGGCTTCCTCAGGTAAGTTTTGGCAAACTCCAATCTGGCTTTTTTATGTGTCTGTGTCAGCAGTGGGGTCCTCCTGGGTCTCCTATCATAGCGTCCCTTTTCATTCAGATGGCGACATATAGTGCAAGTTGACACAGTTGTACCATGTGCCTGAAGATCAGCTTGAATTTGTCTGGAAGTTGATCGAGGGTCTTTATCCACCATTCGAATAATCCTTTGTTGCAATCTCTGATAAATTGTTCTCTTTCATCCACGTCCAGGGAGATTAGCTACAGTGCCATGGGCTGTAAACTTCTTGACAATGTTGCGCACACTGGACACAGGAACATTAAGATCTCTGGAGATGGACTTGTAACCTTGAGATTGTCCATGCTTTTCCACAAAAACTTGGAATGCAATTATTTCTTGCAATTTGGAGAAGGTGCCAATAATGTCGTCAAGTCCATTTTTGGAGTTTTGCGTGGAATGTATTAGATTTCACTTTTTTTTCTTCGCTTTTTTGTGTCATACCAATACAAACAAAAGAAATAAACGTGAGAATGCCTAAACATTTGTAACTGCAACAATTTTCTACACAAAGTGGTGCATTATCTGACAGAAATGCAGGGGTGCAAATATTCGCGAACCGATTTGGTCGTGAACCGAATCAAACTGTGATCAGACGCTATCTCGACTAGAAGAAGCCATGGCCATGTGTCAGTGCAGTGCAAATGGCTGCGGTTGTGTTCGTCACCCCAAGCGGAGTTCGCGAATGGAAGCAAAATTTTGCTGAACTTCCTGTTCGCGAACCGAATTGTTCAGGAACAGAAGCGTTCGTGAACCGAGGTACCACTGTGTGTGTATGTATATATATATTTTTATATTGTTTATG